TTTTTTTTTTTTTTTTTTTTTTTACCGAGGTACAATACTGGGTCGCGCACTTACTGTCGCCTAGTTTTCAGTCACGTTCATTTTTACTAGCCAAAGTGAATGAATGTATAATGAGAAGTGTGAAGTGCTGCGATTTGCCTGTTGTAACTCCTCATTCATTAATAGCTCTGTCGCGAACTTGTATTGAGAGATCACTCTTATGAGTTCCATGTATTTTCAAATGTTTTCTCTCGTCATCAAATCTATAGTTAAATTAAATTAGAATGTAAATGGAATTTATTTTCAGAAGGATTATACAACGAACATTTCTTCATTTCACTGTTAGGTATCTTGTGTGATTATTACACGATGTTGAGAGGTTTCCCTTGTTACTATGGTTTCAGTTCCACGCGTGGGCGGGGAGCATGCCCTTAAACTGCTGTTTTTACTCCTGTGTGGGAAGCCCACGCAAAACCCACACGATTCTAGATGGATTTCATTTATGCTAGTTGAACGCAGTGTTCATTCACAATTGTTGTGAGTTTTAAGCTGATTGCTTGTTTAATATTTTTTTCTTCTGTTCAGGTACAGACCTTGCTGCAGCAGATGCAGGACAAGTTCCAGACCATGTCAGACCAGATTATTGGGCGAAATATCCTTCCACATATGCATGTTTATATCAGTGTAAATACTTGTAATTGATTGAGTAACTAATTGTAGCTTAATTGAGTGGAATGCACTAGCTATGTTTTTATGTACACAATCAAAACCTTCATTTATTAGAAGAAAATTCATGATTCCTAGGTTGACTGTGAGATGATAGCTTATTTCAAAGAAGTTTTGTCTTAATTCTAATACTTGATGAGATGAGTATGCGGATCGATGACTTGGAAAAGAACATCTCTGATCTCATGACTCAGGCGGGTGTGGAGGAGTTAGAGGAGGACATAAAATTCACAGAGACCTCTGGAACAGCTTGAAGGCAATGACCAACACCATCCTAGTAGGTGTAGGTGGTGCTATTGCCACTTTGAAGATGCCATTCTTTCAAAGTTGTTGCCATTTAGAGAACACTTATATTCCACAAACTGCAGAGGACATGTATTTGAAATTACATTTGGATTCATCTGCTTGTGACCCAGTATTTATTGAAAGTCAGATTCAACTTGCAAATTTAATTTTGTTTTGTGGTCTTCATGCCATGTCTTTCAGTTTTGTTTTGTTTAATGTTTAGTATTTTTTCTCTTTCAGACTGCCAAGGAACACAGTGAAGACCTTCTGCTGCAGTATCAGAATTTTTAAATGAAATGTGAATTAATCCTTTAAGTAATTAATTAAAAATGGTGCTTGCCTACATGCATTACATAATATATTACATATTGTAAGGTTAAAAACTATATTTTGGACAGAAGAAAAACATAATAAAATTGTTTTTGTATTTATTCATTGTAATCATGGGAAAATCATGTGTTTTGCTGATTATTAAAAAATCCATGAAATGGCTTTACAGTCACTGTTTTCTTTCCTGTGTTAACATATTTATTATTAAAACAGAAAACAGAGACAGCGTTAAACTCCAGATATATATATACAGGGCCTAAAACAAACTTTTTGCCAGACCTGCCATTGGCTGGTGACTTAAGGAAATTTACCAGCCAGAAATATTTTTTACCAGCCACGGGAAAAAAAAGACAGGCAGTTATGATACCAAAATTTTAGATAATAGCAAAAAAATCACAATCCTTGATTCCAGTTTCGATACCTGCTATACTAGCTTAACCAACATAAATTTAATAGGCTACATTTTTAAATACTAGTAAATAGTCAGTTGTAAAATCAACTGAGCAAATCAAATTACAAGCAATAGCCCAAAATAGCCTACTATACAACAAAGATACAAATGGAAATGTGCATTTCAGGCAGGTCTAACAGTGATTTTCAGGTAGCCTACAGAAATTTAATAAATGAGGCTAATCAAATAACATAGGCTATATCCCTTTTTTAAAGTTCAAGAGCAGTGAGAGATTGTTTTTTTTTCTTTGTCCTATTTTCTTTGATCAACATTAAAAACGCAGACAACAGCAGGATTATTGGAATTCTGTGTCTATCACTTTAACAACGCAGCAGCTTGAAGTTGTCAACACTGGATGAGACAAAGCGGCCGTTGCAAAGTGCTTGGACTATTTCAGAAACAGAACGGGGAATCCGTTTACTTTCGGGGATTTGTCGTGTCGCATCCTGTGGCGACAATATCACTGATTATATTGGGTTCTGTCGTCTTTTGACACATTGCGTCGCACGCGGCTCGTGTCCGGGTTCTTTCTCAGCTGTTCATGTTCACTTAAGAACCGACTACTTTACTAGGATACTCACCGAGACGGACATCTTTGACATAACGTTGTGTTAATTTGTCCGTTTAAGCGCAGGAAGGAAGCAGAGCTCAAGACGCGGCTTTCAGGCCGGGTTTCGGATGTTTAAACTTCCCACACAGCGCGAGAGTAACGCGTGCTAGATGGTGTAGTTATGACATCTACCAGCAGGGGTTAACTGGGTCATGTTAATCATGCATAACTTTGACCTATTGGATGCACCACAAGAATGTGCACAGGTCCAAAGCCTTCACTCATGACTATGATGTCGAAGGCAGCATATCAGCCAAACTGCCTGTAGATATGTTGCATTAGAGTAAGGGACATTTTAAAGCCTTATTAATGCCTTTCTGTTTTAATTGGTGACAACAGATCATCAGACTAAGTTTTAAAAAGTAAAACCTTTAGGTCTGGTTTCACAGACAGGGTTTAGACTAAACCAGGATTAGGCCATAGTTCAATTAGGACATTTAAGTCATTTTTATAAACATGCCTTGTGAGTATTAAAAAAAAACATTAATGATATGCATCTTGAGACAAAACAAGGACACTGACATATTTTAAGATCAATCAGTGTTTCTTTCAGTTGAAACAGCTCAGATTTACATTTTAGTCTGGGACTAGGCTTAAAACCTTGTCTGTGAAACCAGGGTTGGACCAACAAACGCTCATTTGTTTTCATTAATTTACGGATGTCACGTGTTTAGCTTTATCTGCACCACACATTGTATCTGACATTTTTGTTTGTTAAAAAAAGAAATTATAAAATAGGTTACTTTTATCAAAGTTGTCATTTGTTTTTTTTTGTGGGGTTCAAAATGACACAAGATTCTAGAGCTGTCAAATTAATTACCTTTATTATTATTATTAATAATTTTGTTTACCAAATCACATTGTTGGTTCAATTACAAATGTTAAATTGTCATAGCAATCTCTTCTCTTTTTAGCTAAAAAATAAATACACTGTCTACACATTAAGCTTTATACATTTTAGTACAGTTAACTCACTGTACTGTACACTGTACAGTTAAACACTGACTTAACATAAAAAAAGCACTCCATGTCTTACTCCACGACGTGGAACAAAAACATAAATCAGTGTTATTTATCTAAATACATTATGTTTAGAGCTAATTTGACTGATTATAAAAATAAAAACATTTAACAAATCTTAGACTCTATTCTTAGTACCATAAACCAGTCATGGAGCTGCATCTCCTCCAGAATAAGTCTCTGCTGGGGATCAGGCTGCAGACAAGCGCAAATCATCTGGCAGCATTCTGTTCAAAAAGATGAGAGAGATGTCTGATTATTAACTTATATGTTACACATTTTTATATTTAGATTTCAAATTGTATACTTTCATATTTAAAATCAAATTGTTCATCTTTGTTCTTTTATGAAGATCCCACCTTGTGACAGGTCAGGTTTGGACCACCCTTTCTTAATGATCATGTGCAGGTCTTTGTCATCTGGAAAATACCCGCACACCATCACGAACAGCAGGATCCCTAATGACCAAACTGTCGTTAATGCATTTCTACAGCATGTACAGCAGGATGTTTCAGTAAGCTAAATAACCTGCTAACAAATCATAAACCATCGCATACCATATTGAATTATGTTTCATTTTTATGTTTTTCTAAGTAGTAATATACAAAATGGCATAAGCGAATTGGACCAAATTTCACATTTTGTGTTTTCTACAATCAGTTTTATTCTTTCAGGAGACACAAGACTGTATAAATTATAAAATATATCTGGTCTATCACAATCTAAAATAGAATCCACATCCTCCAGCTTTATATCATTCCATTTATGTGCATTCTGTATTGGTATATACTGATTCAGAGCATCTCCTCACCTCATCAGCTGAGCCATCCCTGTATCCAGCAGCCTCTTCCTGCCAACATCTTTGCATCCCTGGACCAGAGCTGAGCTAATCCGATAGCCACGGCTGCTATGACCTTCAGAGCTTGAAACAAACAAATAAATGATCATTCACACAGC